GCGCTGGTATGTACCAGCTTCTTGTGCCAGGAGAGAATCCATGCGTTCAACGGGATTCATCTCTTCCACCCACTCCAGGAGAGTCAGAATATGAGTCGTTCACCAATGGCAAGGTATAACGAGCTAGCGGCCTTCAAGAAGTGGCGCAAGATGCCCTGTTTAATATGCCTATATGGCCCAGGAAGAACTGAGAGCAGAACCAACTGCCTCCTAGATTGTAAGCTCCAAGGAGCAGGGCCCTCAAATCCCTCTTGTATTGAACTATATTGTTGCTGTATCGGCGCTATATAAATCCTGTATAATAATAATATTGGGAACAGTCAAGTCCATAACAGCAGTATAGATGCTTAGAACTAGATCCCAGAAGGCGTGTATGGGAGGGCACTTCCATCAAACATGCAAAAGGGAACTGATGCCCATAAGGCAACGCCAGCAATGGTCAGAGACTGTAGGACACATTCTATGAAGAGTAGTTGAGCACCGGTACCACCTGGAGAGCAGTCTTGAAGTTAGTCTCCTGGGATTCACTACTCTAGGATAAACGATAAGTGAAAACAAATGATTTCTCCTAATCTTCCAAGTTAGTTTATTTAAAATCACATGCAACATTGGTTACACTCACCTAAATAGTATAAAACAGAACAGAATCTCTGGACTGGAAGTGACGCATCAACGTGCATTCCACTATGCGCTCCACCAACCGGAAATGACCTCACCAATAGTTGCCACCTAACATGTTTCACCCCTCAAACTGGGTGTCTTCAGAGGCTGCAACTTTAGTTAAAGGAATAGCACACACCTCCACTGAGAGACTGCACTTTTGTTTATTTCTGGAAGATACAAGTGGATATTGACTATTTTTCGCATGTGCGTAAATGAATTTATTATTTATGCCTGGTAGTATTCAATTAGACAGCGCTTTAGTGTTTGCAATTTTGAGGGTTTAGAACCTTAGCAAAGCAGCAGCCTAATATAATTTTTAAAGTTTATTTTCTGGTTTAATTGTTTTCACATAAGTTGATATCACATAATTTAGAGCTATGTATCCTAGTGCGGGTTTTAAAATACTAATTTACCTTACCCATTGCTCCTCTAGCGGCCAACTCCATCCCCTACCTTCCAGTGCTCTGGGTCTTTGGACGGGCCATCTAAAGTCTTACTTACAATGCAGGATTGATGGTCTTCCATTGTACTTGATGACATCTTTCTTCCTTTTGTGTTTGATCTGTGTCAAACATTTGGGAACTGCACAGACACCAGGATTGATATGACAGTATTATTTCTGATTGTCCACAGCATCTAAAATACCTTAGAATATATTCAGGGTGACAAGTTAGCCCTGGTTGTAGTTTTATGAACTGCAATCCACTCACTCAAGTGCTACTAAACTTATGTTAAGAACAAAAGCCCAATTGATTTCATATAGACTTTTGTCCTAACAACCTTGATTTTCAGTCTTATCTCCATTTTTTTCTGTTACAGCAGTTGTGCATAATGTCTAAATACATTGTATGACTGTCCAGCTCAGTAGGGTACCAAAAAACATCCTGTGCACTCAGTAAACAGCTCTCAGTATGACCCCTGGTTCACATATATCCGGCTGCGCAGGCCATGGTTTGCGCGGTTTGCGCGGGCACGAGAGCCCATTCATTTGAATGGACTCCCGTACCCTGTGACACGCAGGGAAGAAGTCCCTGCACTTCTTCTGAAAACACAGCCCGCACGGGAACTTTGGTTCCCAGTACGGTTGCGTTCTCCAGTGCGGGCGGCGTGCCATTAAAACTAATGGCACCCGCCCGTGGGTCCGCATTCCTCTGTGAGGGTGGTACGGCTGCACAGATTTTCGTACGGATCTGAAGCGGCACCACCCACACATATGTGAACCAAGCCTGAGACCTGATCATACATGCCTCCTCTCTTTCTCTGAAATACAGGTCTGTGTGAGTATCATTGTGCTGAAGGGTGTGGCTGTTACTCAGCTCTGCAAGCACAGGACACTGCAGTGTGAGGAGAAAGACCCCATGAACATTATGTGTTCGGTTCCGATGCATGAAGCTCTGGGGTTTAACACCCAGTTAACACCTAGAGGCTAAACACCCTGTTTGCAGGAGGTCAAAAGGGTATTTTAAGGCGTTTCCAAGGAGGCAAAGGTGTGAGCTGGGCCTGAAGGAGTCAGAGCCAAAAATAAGCACCTGGCTTAGGATGCTGTGCTGAGGAGCTTAGCCTGGGTTGGAGCCTCTCCTTTCTCCAGATTGTCCCAGCCATATCTTGCACTGTGCAGAACCAAGCTGTCAAACTGATAGCTCAGTCCTGCAGATTACACCATGTTCTTATGACAATAACTCTAGGGGGGCTGTTTATAAAATATTTATTGCATGAATGTCAGAAGTATTTATGCTGGTTGAATAAAATGTCCCATATTTTTTCTAAGAGATTAATGCCTGTATCATCAGCTCCATCTAGTGGCCAAAATGCTGTATAGTTTTCTAAAATACCTCAATGACAAAAATATATTGCATTTTGGTCACTAGATGGAGCGGACGATACAGGTATACATCTCTTGGGAAAAATACATGAAATTTTGACAATGTGGCTTTCCTATCACTTTCTGTACCTGAGACAATGGTCACCAGGCCTAATATTGAGGGTAAATCTCTGCATCAGGTACACAGATGGC